CTAGATGCCCTTTCAAGCAAAGTTCTTGGTGAGGAGCCAGAAGTCGAACCCGCTTTGAATTCTATTCTCCGAATCCTTTTGCGAACATCTAGTATGCAAGAGTTTATTGCGGCTGACTATGTTTTTAAGAACTTTTGTGAGGTTTATATCATACCTTTGCTCTTTAGTACTTATTTTATTTTATTACTAATAATGTGAACTGCTGCGACTTGATTGTGGATTTTGGATTTTTTTTTCTAGAAAAATATGGATGGACAGTCATTGTTAGCGTCCACATTAATTCCTCAACCACATTCAACGACCCATGCTCCCCTTGCGGAGGATGTGAAAATGTCATTTGGAAGGTAGTTTACTCATGATCCTTTCTGTTCCATTCTTCTCTGATATTTTGCTATTTAGACTAGAACTGTCTTGCTTCGTTTAAATATTCCATCCTCTGATGAAACTATTTAATAATGTTGTATATATGGCAGCATGCTTTTACATGGTCTTGCATTGAGTGAAAGCAATGGTGATCTTGAGGTAACCTAATGTTTTCATTTCTTCATTGTGCATCATCAACTTGGGTCATAAATTTTGACATCTAAAATATAGATTTTCTTCATTCGTCATAGTGCTTACTGCACGAGAATTAACGAGCCCTCATATTTGGAAATACAGACTTGTTGCAGGGCTGCTGGTGTTCTTACTCATATTCTTAAGGACAATACTCAGTGCAAAGAAAGGGTATGCTGTCCCATTTTTCTCTTTTACACTTGCATCTTGAGCCAAGTGCTAACTGTATGACTCATTTTTTCAGTAATCTAATTTTGGTGGAGATTGTGCAGGTCCTACGAATTGAGCTTGAAGCCCCAACTCCGTCCCTCGGGGGCTCCAGAGCTACTATTACACCGTATCGTTAGGTACTTGGCTGTTGCCTCTTCCATGAAAAATAAAGATGGGAAGCGAGGTTACTCATATGTTCAACCAATTATCTTGAAACTGCTCGTCACTTGGCTAGCAGATTGCCCAAGTGCAGTGCAATGCTTCTTAGATTCAGGCCCCCACTTAACGTATCAGCTTGAGTTGGCCTCAAATACATCTTCGGCTGTGTGTGGTTAGGGGGCTGGCTGCAGTTGTCTTGGGAGAATGTGTGATTTACAATAAATCTAGTGAAAACGGAAAGGATGGTGTTACCATAGCTGATGCCATATGCCAGAAAATTGGTCTTACATCGTACTTTCTGAAGTTCGATGAGATGCAGAGGAGCTTCCTTTTTTCATCGGGAAAGCCAGCTGAGTCCCATAAACTGTTGACTAGATTTGCTGCTGCTATTATGGAAGGGATTGAAGATGTTTCTGAGGATGATTTGTCGGGTCCGACGAATGAGGGTCATCCGATCCTCACATCAATTTTTGATTCTCAGTTTGTTAATTTCGTGAAGAGTTTGGAAGTGCATATTAGAGAGAACATTATAGACGATTACAGTCACCCTAAGACTGGCGTGGCAGTGTTGCCTGCAGAAATGGAACAAAAGGATGGAGAAAGTGACAAGGACTACATCAAGCGGCTAAAAGCATTTATGGAGAAACAATGCTCTGAGATTCAGGTAATACAAAAAGCATTTATTTTGAAACAAATGGATGGTTTTCGATTAGTTTTTTCCTATTCGATCTATTTTCCTTGTTCTTTTCATTACTAGAAACTTCTCGGCCAAAATGCCACTTTGGCCGAGGATCTGTCGATGGAATGTCGGAGTGGGAATTCTCAAACCGATCCAAGGTCGGGCAGTGGCTCAGACCAAGTCCAAGCAGAGACACTTCGTCGAGATCTTCAGGAGGCGTTGCAACGAATAGAGATGCTCAAGGCAGAGAAAGCTAAGATTGAATCGGAAGCATCAGTGTACCATAATTCAGCTGGGAAGCTTGAGGCCGATCTTAAGAGTCTATCAGATGCCTACAATAGTCTTGAACAGACCAATCACCACCTTGAAAAACAGGTAGAAGCCTTGAAGAATGGAGAGACGTCAACTACTACTGATATCGAGTCAATAAAGGCCAAAGCTCAGGAAGAGGCCCAGAAGGAAAGCGAAGCAGAGCTAAATGATTTACTCGTGTGCCTCGGGCAAGAACAGAATAAGGTGGAAAAATTGAGTGCAAGGTTATCAGAATTAGGTGTAGATGTCGACAAACTGCTTGAAGGTATCGGAGAAGACACAGGGCTCCCCGAAGATGATGAAGGGGAAGAAGACTGATGTAGTCTGTGTTAGTACAGTCAAATGTCATCGTCTTCATCGTACACAAAATGGGTAATTGTATAAATTATTTTAGAATTGGATCGACTAATTAAATTATGGTCTTTATTATCACAAAAAGAATGAAAAGTTTGTCAAAAATAAATCAGATGTCTATCTTGTAAAACTTTGAAGTCATTATCACTCGTAAAACGGATTTAAATAACGGACGCAACAAATGCATTTCCGGCTGTTCTACATCAATATTCGAAGATGAAGAATGTTGGCTAGTTATCGTGTTATTTGTTTAAGAAAAAAAAATTCTAATTATGTGTTTACTTTCTAAATTTCATTGTAATTTTGAATATTTTCTTTAATAAAATTAGTGGCTCTATTTGCATAAAAAATATATCACATAATTTTTCTTGAGATATTTTTTTGATTAAATACAAATATTATATTTTCAAGACAAATGTCGAGGTTTGAACCCATGCAAGATGAAATAATATAAATATCCTTGATCATTCGACCAATTAATAAATCTTTTTATTGAGATAATTCTAATATCTAAATTAAAGGATAAATAAATAAATAAATAAGCATCGCAATTTGAAGAAACTTCACTAAACCAATAATTTAGGAGAGTTGGGTATTCATGAATGTATGTATTTATTAGGTGCAAGTGTAGATCTTTTTAAATGAAACATGGGTCGTCTTAAGTGGGCCAATTTTGGAAGCCCAAATGTCAAAAATAAAGGCCCATTCAATCAAAATCTACACGGATCTTCATTTACATTATTTTCATCTTAATTACTATCTTTATTTCATAAATATTAAAATAAAATTTATGAAGGTATAAATACTTATTTACATTTTTACAAACCAATAGCCGATCGAGATACCTACTTTAACCGAATATTACTGAAATAAACAAAAATATCAGTTGAATCAATTACGTCTATTTTCATCCACCTTTATTCATAGGGAAAAGAAGAAAGAAAGGTTGCTTTGGATTTCAGTGGAAGTTTCTCGTTTAATTTGGTGGTGCAAATATTATGAGACAAGCCTTCATGGAAATGAACCAACCTTCTGTTGATGGAATTATTTGCAGACATGTATCGACATATTGAACTGGAAGCTTCAACCAGTAATGGAGGACGATTTGTTTGCAGAAAAGGATGAACATCGATTATTAAATAAAATTATTTTTATAATAAACTTTTATGATAATCCATTCTGATTAATCGAAGTTATATTAAAAAGTATTTTCATGGATGAAAGGGATTGAGCTGATCAAAGTACGTAGACTGAAGAACGAGAAGAAAAACACAGAAGCAATTTAATATTTTCAGACAAATCAGGATTTCATAAGATGTGTGATTACAACAACAACAAAACCCTATTATCATATGCGATGGGGGTAAAGGGGAGGTAGTACAGTCGGCTATCCCCAACGCTAGGTTAAGAGCAGCTTCCGTGGAAGACCTCCGACAATCAGAAAATTTAAAATAAAGATACAATACAATGCGTATAAATAAATATATAAATACATAGTTGAACAGTCTTCTTATGCAGTCTTTATATGCGCGTTGTAATGGGAAGTAATCCCTGCAAATAAATCTCTGCATAAAAATATTTACATATAGACAGAAACGAAAGACATGGCTAAATTTAAAAAGAGGAACCATGAAGAGAATGATACACAAAGTCCGCAATAGTAAACTACGAGAAAAAAATAAAGTCAAATGGGTTAAAACCTAAACTAAAACAATACTACTTTTCTAATCTAGTTCTAAACCTTCATAAGATGTGTAATTAATTCCTTTATAAGTGAAGCAATTACTTATCTTCTTCGATTAGATATAAATTTATCTTTAACAATAAAATATATGGTGTCTTTTTTTTTTGGAGAATTATACCATATTATTATATTTAATTTGGAGCCGGATTAATTTATTTTTTTTATTAATTTTAATTTTAAATTATTTTAAACTCTACTCGTTTCTTTCATTATTTTGAATTTATTTTCATATTTAATTCATTGTAATTGATTTTTGAAAAACATTTTTTCATTTTTTTAGTAATTTATGGAAAATGACTTGCGGTTTGTTTTTTCATAAATTAATTTTTAAAATTTTAACTTCAAGTAAAAATAATCAAAATAATATTATTTTATGTATTTAATATTAATATAATATTTTAATATCATTTTAATAAATATATTAATTATTAATAAAATTAATTTTATCTATTAATTCTATAAAAGTACTATCATTAAATATATATTTAATAATTTTTAGAATTTAATATTTTTAATATAATATTTTTTTTTATCAAGCTAAGGTGATTACAAAGTAACATATGCTCTAAACACTCTTTCAACCATCTGACAACAAACATTCAATCACCCTTACAATTGTTGGTGTTCGAACCCGTGACCTCTAGGAACATCAACGATTCCTTTAACTACTGAGGTAAGTTGGTTCGTACTATTATAATAATATTTTTATTTTAATAAGTAATTGATATAATTAATAATATACTATTTTTATTTTAATAAAAACTTAACATAATTATACTATTTTTATTTTATAAAATATAATATTTTTAATACTTTCATTTATAAAATTGTATAAATAATATTTTAATAATAGTATTAACCTAAATAATATTAAATAAATTATTCTAGTATTCTAAAAATAATAATATTAAGTTGATTTCAAGACAGATAAATTTCCGGAAAATAGTTGCCTTTTTTATCTGATGCAGATAACAAGATGGCAATGCCTTTAAATTGCCAATTAAATGTGTTTTCTCATCTTCCCATCGCGTCTTCCTTCTATATAAATCCTTGGGGCTTCTCCTCAAATTTCCCAAGCTACAACATCATGATAAAACCGTCTTCATTGTTTTCTCATTCGGATTAAAACTTGTTTTTGAGGTTGACAATGGAAACCACTGTTGAGAATGTCATCCCCAATGGGAAGGAAACAGATGGAAGTGTTCAGGTGCCGAATAAACAAGAGGAAGTTGCAGTTGAAGTGGAGCCAAAGACTGGAGTTTCATTCCCGGTTAAATTGGATGATGGGAAACAATTGAACTGTGTTGGTGTCAGGAAGAAATCCATGCTTGGGTTGGGCATCAAGATTTACGGCTTTGGTAAAGTTTCTTCAAATTCCCAGATTCCTAATGCATGTAATTTCAACCTTTTGCATGGTGATCATTGGATAGTCAATGTGGTCAAGAGAAGAATTTGTTGGCTTTTTCAACCATGTGTTTGATCAATGTCCCAACTGAATATTGAAACTAAACATTCAATGGATTGATCAATGATTTTACAGGGATGTATGCAGACAATGAGACACTGAAGAACTTGTTGAAGTCGAAGATTGGGAAAGGCCTGGAAAAACTCAACAAGGAACTCTATCAATTGGTCATTGACAGTGATGTGGAAATGGTGGTAAGATTGGTGATTGTATTTTCTAGCCTTACCATGAGCATGGTAAGAAAGAACTTTGAGGAAGGTCTTGGAGCATCCATCAATAAACTAACTGGTGGAAAGAAGGACGAAGTAGCAAACAAGTACTCGAATTTTCGCTTTTCTTGAATCACCCGAGACCCGAGTAACATAAGATCATTACTTAAAATTACTTGTTTTTGTTGATGACAGACTCATGGGAGAAGCAACGGATAACATCAAGCTAACACCGGGTTCTCTTATTGAGATTTCTCGTCTTCCAGGCTATGTTCTCGAAACCAAGGGTGAGTGTTCGAAGGTGAAATTGTATTATTCTGATAACTGAATTCTTACTGTGTATAGCTATATGAAGAAATGTGACAAGAAGTTGTGTTTTTGAACGGTTTGCAGTGATGGGTGAAGTGATATCCAAGGTTGAGAGTGAGCTTCTCTGCAGGGCTTATATCAATTTGTATCTGGGAGATGATCCACTTGACAAGGATGCCAAAGATAAGTTTGGGAAGTCCATGATTTCTCTATTCTAGATATCTAGGTCTCGGAATAAGGCCGTTGATTAATAAAACCGATGATAATGCGAATGCAGCCGGCTATAAAATGTAGCTTTAATGTCAATTTAAGCCTTTGATTCTGCAGAACCTTTCTGCAGAAATTGATTGTTGAACTTAAAGATGTACTAAGGTTTCAATTCTAATTTATCGAATTCCGGAACTCATTTCTTTGAATTCTAATATATCTTACAGAGTGGTATGAGATATGTGTTTGAAATGGCTGTGAATATATATACATGCGATTGTGAACATATAGACTTGAGTTTTTCATCTTGTTTGATGCAATCGAATGAAAAGGGTTAGGAGGAGGCTGAAAATTTGTACATTTTCTTAGGAACCAAACAAAGAAGAAATACACACAATCTGCGTATAGTTGGCTCTATTCTAAGTCACAATTGGCTAAAAATAGCTCAAAAATCACAACTTGGACGTAGTAAAGAGCAGCAACCATTTCCAATGTTAAGCATGATGCATTTGCCTGGTTTGATAAGCTGCCCTTCCACCATTTCAACTTGATAATTCCACAGTAAATTGATTGCCAAAATCTTCATCTGTTTGAGACTCGTATCTTAGTCTAAACAAGTCCTAGGCCCTGCACTGATTACTGAGAATTTGTAAGTTGGCAAATTAACCATGTCTCCATTATCTAAACCCACCTTTTTGGCTTGAATTCTAAGCAATCTTTACCCCATATTTCTTCACTCCGTCCCATCGAATAGTATGAAATCAAGATCCATATGTTCCCTTTGACAGTCTCTCCAGCATTCAAGCAAGGGTAGACGCCATTGCTACACTCCATAATCTCTCAACTTGTCATCAAATAACCCCATTGATTGCATCTTCTGGTGCAATCTATAACTTGCTTCAACTCATCCACTGTCACGAGAAATCATCGAAGTTGACTGAAAAGGCGATCGCATTACTCGAAAAAATCATTTTTTGTCAGAGGATTCAATTTCTGACGGCAGGGATTGCTGATGCGATTCAGATTATAGTCGAGGCGATGGAAGACGGATTATACTCTATGATATTCAGCAGACCAACAAAACAACTAAGACAGCATCTGATATGCATATTCCAAGGGAACTAGATCACATTGAGAACACGGGGATAACAAGTTTAGTTGAATTGAGCATGCTCCAGTAGATTTGCAAGACAGCCACAGAGTACTCGCAAGAAGCAGAAGTCGGAAATGTCGAAGAGATTTATCCACGAGACCATGAAGGTGGTGGAGAAATAATAGCAAGACAATCCAGATGAAAAAATAACAGAGAAGTCTATATTGACACAAGATTCGATTCATCTGACAGTGTCGAAAACAGAGAGATGTGAAGAGATAAAGCTAATGCTTACCAAATTCTACTGGAAGAGAAACCAGAAAGCAATCTCCAGCTCCAGTAGATGCAGTGGAATAACGGAAGGAAGTGAAAACCTGAGACAAAAGTACTTCTGATACAAAGACTGGAGGCGATATATGCCTGGAAAAGGAAGAAAACAAGGATATAAAGGCTGGGGTGGAGCAAGGAACTATAGCTACTCAGGCTCCAGAAACAAAGTTAGATGGTACTAATTTAAACCTTAATAATTTCATGCATTATTTACTCGTTCCCTTTCTTTTTGTTTTGCTTTGATAATTTATTTATGAGCTCAAAAACCACTAACGTTTGGAGAAAATATGGCAGATTTCAGAGAACCCAGTTTCTCATTTTCAACATAGCAGCCAAGTACAGGGATTTAAATAGCGGTCCACTTTTGCAATAGCGCCAGCTATATAGCAATAGCAATGCAGTCCAATACCGTTACTGCATGACCGCAATGGCGCCAACTATTTCAACAGTCTTAACCAAAAAGACGACCTCAATTTAAATCCCTGGCCAAAAAATTAACATAGTAAACAAATTCCCTTTAACCAGAATATGGATTAATTAACTTGAAAAAGAAAATCCAAATTCAAATGCCAAATGAGAATCCTAAGTTATACTCTTAAATTCATCATTTCTATCTTTCAACAGCTAAAAACAAGCTTTGCTATATAAAACGAAATTCAAAGAGAAAATGAAATCGACGGGAATTAATTAAATAAGCTAACAACTAATATTATCCATTCCAGGAACCTTCGAAGGAAGTACACATAAAAGTTTATAAATTTCAGTAGCATTTAAAATACCAAAATGTTCTGCAATAAAAACACAAAACTCAAATACTGACCAAAATAAAACATAGCAAACTTAAGATGGAACCCGTCAAGTCCAATGAAAACCCACCTCTTAAAACCTCCTCCCGGGTCCACCACCGCGACCGAACCCGACTTGAGGAACTACAGCAACCGGGTCAACCTTAATAAGTCCAGGAATATCAGCCATTCCAAGAACCGAAAGCATGCCAAGAGTTTCCTTATCAACTTCTATTTGGTCAACCTTAATTGCCGATTCATCGGGGACGAAATCCATGCGACGCTCGCGCTCTTCTTCTTGGAGCTTCAACGAAATGCCACGAACCGGACCCTTCTGGATCCGTTTCATCAAATGGGTCGAGAACCCGGCGATCTTGTTTCGGAGCCTCTTCGATGGGATTATAGCCACTTCTTCGATAATCTTTTTGTTGGTGTGGAAATCGAGGGTCATGCGAGAGTATTACCGCTCGATAACCTGACGAGATGATTTCTTCACGGTCTTCGTGCGGACGCGGCCCATTGTTTTGATCAAATGACGCGGGTGCGTGGCTGGCTGGAGTTTCTGCTGCGAGGAAACTAAGAGAGTGAATGTTAGGGTTAGGGTTAGGGTTTTTATATATGAAAGGGAAACTTTTGGGTGGAGGCTCAGGTTTTATGGTTCGACTTGCTTCTCAGGTTTAGCTGAGCCCAACTGAAAGAAATCTCGGGGCTTTTTCAATAATGATTTTATAAAATTTGGAGTAGAATCTTATTAGAGCAAAGGATAAATATTTAAGACATCTATAGTGTATAATTTTAGATATAGTTGATAAATTAGATTATGATATATCATCAAAATTAATTTAGATATGTTTAATTCTAAAAGATTTTATATTTCTTTCTTGATTTTTTTATATTTTTTCATAACCGATAATAATATCAAATTTAAACTGCTTCCTCTTCAGACCACTAAAGCCAAACAAGAGAAGAAAAGAGACTAACGAACCCTCGCCTGAGCACCAATGGACCCTATTTGTTGGTAAATCGACTGGAAAAGACAGGCTAGAGCTAATATCATGTTATAAAACTCTTCAAGAGAAGAGTGGCAATATAGTATCTCCTTTGGGTTCGATACCTCTACCAATATTACAGGGTACGAGGCACTTATAGCAGAACTGGAGCTCATATTGGAACTGGATGTACAAAATCTTCTAATCTACATCAACTTTAAGTTGGTAGCCAAGCAGATGACGTGCGAAAATTGTTAAAAGTTTCAAAGTTTGGCAATTAACTTTGGAAAATGTTTTTTTTTAAAGTTTGGTAAATGTTTTTTTGAAAAATGTTTTTCAAAGTTTGGTAAAATTTTGGTAGATGTTTGTTGAAAATAGGAATGGGTAAATTCACTTTAGTCATTGCACTTTAGGGTATTTTCAAAGATTAGTCCCTAAGTTTCTACTATAAATACCCTTACCCATTTAGCTTCAAAATCATCCCAAAAATCATTTCTTTCTCCCAAAACTAGATAGCTTTCTTGTGAGTAGTGAGTGTTTTGTAAACACCTGTAAAAATTCTCTCTTAGTAAAAGATCTGCAGCAGTCCGGAGACGTAAGCAAAATTGGCTGAACTCCGTTATCAATTTCGGGTATTATTTTTCCGCTTTTATTTCGCATTCTCACTAATCTGGTTATAGGGAAATTACTTGTACTCGGTTTTTTTCCTAACAACTGGTATCAGAGCTTTTGGCTGTGAATATTGTCAATTTTTCTGCGATGTTACTATTCATTACTATTCACATGAATAGTGAATTTCGTGAATAGTGAAATTTCGGTCGGCGATACGAGTTTGTCGACGGTGGTGTTCTAATACACGGTGGTTCGCAAGAATTGTTAGAAACGATCCAAAAGAAGCCAGATTCGAGTGGAAGCGATGGCTGCAGACGAAGGGAAGGTGAAAATTGAAAAGTTCGATGGTGCGGACTTTGGCTTTTGGAAGATGCAGATTGAAGATTTTCTGTACCAGAAAAATCTTTATCAACCTCTCTCAGGAAAGCAACCAGATGGCATGAAGAATGAAGACTGGGCTCTTCTCGACCGACAAGCCCTCGGAGTCATCCGACTGACGTTGTCCCGAAATGTTGCTTTCAACATAGCAAAGGAAAAGACCACGGCGGGTCTTATGGCGGCTCTCTCCAGTATGTATGAGAAGCCATCGGCCTCAAACAAAGTTCATTTGATGAGGCGATTATTCAATTTGCGGATGACGGAAGGGGCATCGGTGGCACAACACCTAAATGAACTCAACACAATCACAACCCAGTTGAGTTCAGTGGAAATTGAGTTCGATGATGAAGTTCGAGCTTTAATTCTCTTATCATCTCTACCAGACAGTTGGAATGCTACTGTTACAGCAGTCAGCAGTTCGTCGGGAAACAACAAATTAAAATTCGACGATGTTCGGGATCTGGTACTGAGTGAAGAAATTCGACGGAGAGAATCGGGTGAAGCATCAACCTCCTCAGCCTTGCACACGGAGTCTAGAGGAAGAACTTCAGAAAGATATTCAAATCGTGGTATATCAAAATCCAGACGGGAAAAATCTAGAACGGGAAAGAAAGATTTTACCTGTTATAATTGTGGCAAGAAAGGTCACTTTAAAAGAGATTGCCGAGCACTGAAGAAAGATACCGGTGCACAGGAATCTGCCAACGTGACAGAGGAGACAGGTGATGCCATGATTCTAAGCGTCAACAGTCCGATTGAATCATGGATCTTGGATTCAGGGGCATCTTTCCACTCCACCCCATGCCAAGAAATCATGGAGAACTATGTCAGTGGTGATTTTGGGAAGGTTCATCTTGCTGATGATGAAACCTTAAAGATCGTCGGAAAAGGAGACATCCGACTAAAGTTGCCAAACCAGACCACCTGGAAGCTGACAGGAGTGAGACATATTCCTGGCCTCAAAAGAAATCTGATTTCTGTTGGACAGCTTGATGGAGAAGGATATAGCACAACCTTTTCAGGCTGTGAATGGAAGATTACCAAAGGAGCACTCGTCATTGCTCGTGGTAAGAAGACTGGTACTCTCTATGTAACCTCAAATTTAGAGAATATCATTGCAGTAGCAGATGCTGATGGAAAATCAAACCTATGGCACCAAAGGCTTGGCCATATGAGCGAGAAAGGGATGAAGACACTTTTGTCAAAAGGGAAGCTGCCGGATCTAAAGAATGTAGATGTCGGACTATGCGAGGATTGCATCTTTGGCAAACAAAAGAAAGTCAGTTTTGCAAAGATTGGCAAGACACCCAAGGCAGAAAGGTTAGAATTGATTCATACTGATGTATGGGGACCATCCCCAGTTCCATCTCTTGCAGGCTCACTATATTATGTCACCTTCATCGATGATTCAACAAGGAAGGTGTGGGTTTATTTTCTGAATAAGAAATCAGAAGTCTTTGATACCTTCAGAAAATGGAAGGCCATGGTGGAAAATGAGACTGGTTTGAAAGTCAAGCGGTTGAGGTCTGACAATGGAGGAGAATACAGAGACAGTAGATTCAGATATTTATGCGCAAACAATGGGATCAAGATGGAGACAACAGTTCCCATAACACCGCAGCAGAATGGCGTAGCAGAGTGCATGAACAGAACTCTGAATGAACGTGCCAGAAGCATGAGGATACATGCCGGATTGCCCAAATTTCTATGGGCTGAAGCTATCAACACTGCAGCTTACTTGATCAATCGTGGGCCCTCAGTTCCTTTGGATGGCAGAATACCAGAGGAAGCTTGGAGCAAGAAAGAAATAAACCTTTCATACTTAAGAGTGTTTGGTTGTATTTCTTATGTACACATAAACTCTGCTGAAAGAAGTAAACTTGATGCCAAGTCCAACAAATGCGTCTTTGTTGGTTACGGTGGTGATGAGTTCGGTTACCGGTTTTGGGACTACGAATATCGAAAGATCATCAGAAGCAGAGACGTCATTTTCAATAAAAATGTGATGTACAAAGATAGGTCAACCGCAGAATCAAGTAATACCGAAGCTGAAACAAAGGAATTTGCTGAGTTCGAGGAGATTTCTGGAAATGATGTTCAGATCAATCCTGAAGCAGTTCAAGAAGAACCAGGCACACCAGAACTGAGACGCTCCTCCAGAATTCCTAAACCAACCCAACGGTATTCTCCTTCTTTACACTACTTGTTGCTGACTGACAATGGTGAACCAGAGTGCTATGATGAAGCAATGCAAGTGGAGGATTCAGTCAAGTGGGAGTCTTCCATGAAAGATGAGGTGGACTCGCTTATGTCAAATCAGACATGGGAATTAGCTGAATTACCACCAGGCAAGAAAGCGCTCCACAACAAGTGGATTTACAGGATCAAAGAAGAGCACGATGGGAGCAAACGCTACAAAGCAAGATTGGTTGTCAAAGGCTTTCAGCAAAAAGAAGGTATTGACTACAATGAAATTTTCTCTCCAGTCGTAAAATTGTCTACAATCAGACTGGTGTTGAAAATTGTAGCTGCAGAGAATTTACATCTTGAGCAGTTAGATGTAAAGACAGCTTTCCTTCATGGTGATTTAGAGGAAGAAATCTATATGAGGCAGCCAGAAGGCTTCATAGAGGCAGACAAGAAAAACCTGGTATGCAGGTTGAAGAAGAGCTTGTATGGTTTAAAACAAGCTCCTAGACAGTGGTACAAGAAGTTCGATAGCTTCATGAGTAGCAGTGGTTTTATCAGATGCCAAGCAGATCATTGTTGCTACATCAAGAGGTTCGACAACAGCTTCATTATTTTATTGTACGTTGATGACATGCTCGTTGCAGGCTCAGACATGCAAGAGATTATACACTTGAAGCAAAAATTGTCGAAGCAGTTTGCTATGAAGGATCTGGGCGCTGCAAAGCAGATTCTTGGGATGAGGATCAAGAGAGACACAAATTCGGGGACTTTGATGTTATCACAGGCTGAGTACATCAACAAAGTACTCTCCAGGTTCAACATGCAAGATGCTAAACCAGTAAGTACACCTTTAGGTGTTCATTTCAGACTCTCCAAAGACCAATCACCAAAGACGGAGGAAGAACGTGCACACATGGTGAAGGTGCCGTATGCCTCAGCAATTGGAAGTCTGATGTATGCCATGGTTTGTACCAGACCAGATATTGCTCATGCAGTGGGAGCTGTTAGCAGGTACATGAATAATCCGGGCAAGGTACACTGGGAAGCAGTCAAATAGATCCTCAGATATCTTCGGGGTACCACAAACAAAGGACTTTGTTTCAAAGGTGGAGATATGATACTGACAGGCTATGTAGATGCTGACTTAGCCGGAAATGTCGACATCAGAAGGAGCACTACAGGGTATGTCTATACTCTAGGAGGAACTGCAGTGAGTTGGGTTTCTCAACTACAGAAGATAGTTGCTCTCTCCACAACTGAAGCAGAATATGTCGCTGTTACGGAAGCCAGCAAGGAGATGGTTTGGCTCCAAAGTTTCTTGGAAGAGTTAGGAAAGAAACAAGAAAACAATATCTTGTATTGCGACAGTCAAAGTGCTATCCATCTAGCAAAGAATCCGTCTTTTCATTCCAGGACAAAGCACATACAATTGAGATAT